TTTTGTAATATGAACTCAGGACCTTGTGCTTGCTAGGAATGTGCTGTACTGCTGAGCTATATCCATGGCTCTTCAATAAATATTTTTTAATAAAACAAATAAATATAGAATATAGACTCTTCTGGGAAAGTTGCTTATTTGTACCACTCCAGCCATGTCTCCCTCTTCCAGCCCTCATACATCATAAACTGTGTTATAGTTGTGAATCACCAAGAAAGATAGAGAAAAATAAAGCAGAAATAGAGTTGGAAAGATGGTAATATAATAAAAAGTACAAAGACAACCATAGGAAAACAAAAAAATAAATATAAGTAATCTGTATAGTCATCCCTGATATCTGAGCGGGATTGCTTCTTGAACTTTTCTCTCCATAAATACCACAATCTACAGATGTTCAACTCCTGCATATAAAATAGCATAGTATTTTATATAACCTATGCATATCCTTTTACATATTTTAAATCATCTCTAGATTACTGGTATTACTTATATGATATAAAGTTATGTGAAGAGCTATTATATTATATTGTCCTAGGAACAGTGACCCAAAAAAGCCTATAACATTCAATACAGATGTAATTTTTTCTGAATATTTCTATATGTGGTTCATTAAATGTGCAGATATGGAATCAGTGGGAAATTACACAGCCAACTATAAAATTTTACTCCTAAATCATTGATTTTGCCACCCCCTTAGCCAAGCTTAGGGCCTCTCTTCTCCTGCCCCACTGTAATCCATTTTCCACATCACAACACAGCAAGACAGATGTTCTTGGTTTTGTTCTTTGGGTTTTTGGTTTGTTTCTTTGCCATATTTGTGCAGATTGAACTAGAGCCTCTGCTGTGCTAAGTAGGTGCTCTGCTGTTGAGCTACAACCCAGCACAAGGAAGATGTTCCTTAAATATAATTTGAATTGTGTTATGGCTCTGGATAGAAGCCTTTAATAATGTCCCATTGTATCTGAGATAAAATTTAAACAAAGAAACAAAAAAAAAAAGAAAGAAAATCTTACCTTTGCCTAAAAGGCTCCATCCACATAAATCATTTGATCTCTCTCTTTCAAATTTGAATTTATCCCCCATACTCAATTCCATCTATCACAATGGCTTTTTTTCTCCTTTTCTAATTGCCTGAAGTTTTTCTTGATTCAGGGCCTTAGAATGTGCTATGTTCTGTTTGAAAGGGTCTTATTAATTACTCTGTTTTGCCTAAACAAAAGATCTGAAATATTACTTGCTCAAAGACTTCTTCCATGACCCTTCAATCTAAATTATCTTTTTGTCATTATTTTCTTGTAATGACCTATAGTTTTCCATAAATATATTTGAGTAGTTATGTTTTTTTAATATTTTACTCCCCCAACAGAATAGAGGCCTAATGGGAGTAGGCATAATATCGTTTGGCTCTTTGCTGTACCCCTTAGCCCATAGTCACCTAATAAATGTTAACAGAAAAGCTGAGTGGAAGGGTGGTGGTCCTTGCAAAAAGTCCCAACTAACTGAGAGGCTGAAGTGGGATGACTAATTGAGCCCAAGTTTGGCACTAATCTGGGCAACATACTGAGGCCATCTCCTAAATCTTTTGAATGAATAGACAATCAAGTGGTGAGGGGGAACACCCATGGTATAGACAGAAGCAGAATGAAAGTAATACCATGTCTTGTCTAATCTTAGTCATTCATCACACAAGGGCATGCGTCTTTCATCTGGCCCCATTCATTCTTCTCCGATTAAGATCTAAACAAAGGGAACGAGTTTGACCCCCAGCACCATATGCCTTGCTGGCCCTGCCCCCATGTGCGATGAGCCAGCCACTGAGTCTGGGTGTGGTGGCACACACCTGTAATGCTGGGGAGACTGGAAACAGGAGGATCACTATGAGTCAGAGCTCATAGTGAGACCCTGTACCAAATACACTTAAATAAATAAATAAATAAATAAAGATTGAAACCAAATGATTCTTTACACATATAGTTTCTTCTTGCTCTTCATGGGGAATTGGTTCTAAGACTTTGATGTGTACCCAAATCTTACCAAAATCTAGATGCTTAAATCCTTTA